ATCCTCGTCGTCCTCCGTCGTCCTCGTCCTCCTCCCATCCTCCTCCTCCTTCTCTCCTCCTCGTCCCCATCTCCTCCTCCTCCTCTTCCTCCTCTTCTCCCTCCTCCTCCTCCTCCCTCATTCTCCTCCGCCTCCTATTCCTCTTCATCCTCATTATCCTCCTCCTCCTCCTCCTCCTCCTCCTCCCCCTCCCCACCTCCTCCTCCTCCCACTCCTCCTCCTCCTCCACCTCCTCATCCTCCGCTTCCTATTCCTCTTCATCCTCATCCTCCACCTCCTCCTGTTCCTCCTCCTCACCCTCGTCGCCCTCCTCCTCCTCGTCCTCCGCCTCCTCGTCGTCGTCGTCCTCCTCCTCCTCCTGCTCCCCCTCCTCCACCCCCTCCCCCCCCTCCTCCTCCTCCTCCTCCTCCTCCTCCTCCTCCTCCTTCTTATCCTCCTCCTTCTCCTCCTCCTCACCTTCTCCTCCTCCTTGTTTTCCTGCCGCCGATTTTCCTCTGGCCGAGGGTCGCCGCCGCACCTGTTCGACGGGAATCGGTGCCACCAGGTCATGGGCACCACGGATGCAGAAGCACGCGCACTTAGGATGTGAAAACGAAGGGCCCTCCCCAGTATCCTCCTCCTCCTCCTCCTCCTCCTGCTCCTGGTTGTTCGTTGTTCCTCGGGATCGGTGGCCCAAGCGTGGCTGAGTGTGCGGGCCCAACCCTGTGCAACCGAATGGGGTGGAAGAGGATCCGTCCCCTAGCTATGAGGGTGCTTTGCTGTGGCGCAAGTTTTGGCCGAGCTGGAGATCCAGGGCTTCGCCCCGCCCGCCGACCTGGGAATGAACAAACGCAGGGCTTCCGCCCCCCCCGCCGACCTGAACAATTAAGGGTTTCCGCCCCCTCCCCCTTCCCCTTTCCTGCTCCCCCGCCGACCCGAGAAGGTAAGCTATGTAGGTTAGCCTACTTAGGCTAACCTGGTTAGCACGGCCCCCTAACCAAGATAGCAGCCGCGTTGCTATTCAGGTTAGCTAAGTAGGTGAAGTAGGAAAGTAAGTGGATATAACCACTCTATGTGGATATTAACCACAGCGGCGGTCCCAGTGGATCTGCTGGATCTGCTGGATCCGATGACGAATCCCAAACCGGCGCCCTCGCCTGAGACATCCTCACAAAACGGGCCCCGGGGGGGATGCCCAGAGGAGCCCAGAGCGGCCTCCGGCACCATTTCCGGACGGATCCGCTGGATCCGCTGGATCCGGTGACGAATCCCAAACCGGCGCCCTCGCCTGAGACATCCTCACAAAACGGGCCCCGGGGGGGATGCCCAGAGGAGCCCAGAGCGGCCTCCGGCACCGTTTCCGGACGGATCCGCTGGATCCGCTGGATCCGGTGACGAATCCCAAACCGGCGCCCTCGCCTGAGACATCCTCACAAAACGGGCCCCGGGGGGGATGCCCAGAGGAGCCCAGAGCGGCCTCCGGCACCGTTTCCGGACGGATCCGCTGGATCGGTGACGAATCCCAAACCGGCGTCCTCGCCTGAGACATCCTCACAAAACGGGCCCCGGGGGGGATGCCCAGAGGAGCCCAGAGCGGCCTCCGGCACCGTTTCCGGACGGACGACCTGACTGCATAACAAGCCTGGAATATGCCGACGGGGGCGAAGGAGGAGGAGGAGGAGGAGGAGGAGGAGGCGGAGGAGGGAGGAGGAGGAGGAGGAGGAGGAGGAGGAGGAGGAGGAGGAGGAGGAGGAGGAGGGAGGAGGAGGAGGAGGAGGAGGAGGAGGGGGAGGGGGAGGGGGCAGGCGAGGGAGCCCCGGCCCTGGGGGAGGGACCCTGAGGGAGCCCTGATGGGTTTCCGGCACCATGGAGAGGTCCTGTGGGGCGGCCGCCCCTTCTTCTCTCGGTCGTTTCCCTCTCGCCCAGAAGCGCGCGCCCCTTCTTCTATATATACAGAAACTCCCGATCAACCGCAGAGAGGCGGATGTTACGTTGTAATTTGAGGGAGTTTCTGTGGAACTCACGTCGTCCTCACCCCTGGCGCGAAGAGCACGAGCCCAGAGCGGCCTCCGGCACCGTTTCCGGACGGATCCGCTGGATCCGCTGGATCCGGTGACGAATCCCAAACCGGCGCCCTCGCCTGAGACATCCTCACAAAACGGGCCCCGGGGGGGATGCCCAGAGGAGCCCAGAGCGGCCTCCGGCACCGTTTCCGGACGGATCCGCTGGATCCGCTGGATCCGCTGGATCCGGTGACGAATCCCAAACCGGCGCCCTCGCCTGAGACATCCTCACAAAACGGGCCCCGGGGGGGATGCCCAGAGGAGCCCAGACGGGAGCGGGGGGGATGCCCAGAGGAGCCCAGAGCGGCCTCCGGCACCGTTTCCGGACGGATCCGCTGGATCCGCTGGATCCGCTGGATCCGGTGACGAATCCCAAACCGGCGCCCTCGCCTGAGACATCCTCACAAAACGGGCCCCGGGGGGGATGCCCAGAGGAGCCCAGAGCGGCCTCCGGCACCGTTTCCGGACGGATCCGCTGGATCCGCTGGATCCGGTGACGAATCCCAAACCGGCGCCCTCGCCTGAGACATCCTCACAAAACGGGCCCCGGGGGGGATGCCCAGAGGAGCCCAGAGCGGCCTCCGGCACCGTTTCCGGACGGATCCGCTGGATCCGCTGGATCCGGTGACGAATCCCAAACCGGCGCCCTCGCCTGAGACATCCTCACAAAACGGGCCCCGGGGGGGATGCCTCGCACCGTTTCCGGACGGATCCGCTGGATCCGCTGGATCCGGTGACGAATCCCAAACCGGCGCCCTCGCCTGAGACATCCTCACAAAACGGGCCCCGGGGGGGATGCCCAGAGGAGCCCAGAGCGGCCTCCGGCACCGTTTCCGGACGGATCCGCTGGATCCGCTGGATCCGGTGACGAATCCCAAACCGGCGCCCTCGCCTGAGACATCCTCACAAAACGGGCCCCGGGGGGGATGCCCAGAGGAGCCCAGAGCAGCGGCCGGACGAGCACGTTGGATCCGGACGGATCACCGCCCCGGGGGGGATGCCTCCGGCACCGTTTGGATCCGCTGGATCCGGTGACGAATCCCAAACCGGCGCCCTCGCCTGAGACATCCTCACAAAACGGGCCCCGGGGGGGATGCCCAGAGGAGCCCAGAGCGGCCTCCGGCACCGTTTCCGGACGGATCCGCTGGATCCGCTGGATCCGCTGGATCCGGTGACGAATCCCAAACCGGCGCCCTCGCCTGAGACATCCTCACAAAACGGGCCCCGGGGGGGATGCCCAGAGGAGCCCAGAGCGGCCTCCGGCACCGTTTCCGGACGGATCCGCTGGATCCGCTGGATCCGGTGACGAATCCCAAACCGGCGCCCTCGCCTGAGACATCCTCACAAAACGGGCCCCGGGGGGGATGCCCAGAGGAGCCCAGAGCGGCCTCCGGCACCGTTTCCGGACGGATCCGCTGGATCCGCTGGATCCGGTGACGAATCCCAAACCGGCGCCCTCGCCTGAGACATCCTCACAAAACGGGCCCCGGGGGGGATGCCCAGAGGAGCCCAGAGCGGCCTCCGGCACCGTTTCCGGACGGATCCGCTGGATCCGCTGGATCCGGTGACGAATCCCAAACCGGCGCCCTCGCCTGAGACATCCTCACAAAACGGGCCCCGGGGGGGATGCCCAGAGGAGCCCAGAGCGGCCTCCGGCACCGTTTCCGGACGGACGACCTGACTGCATAACACGCCTGGATATGCCGACGGGGGCGAGGAGGAGGAGGAGGAGGAGGAGGAGGAGGAGGAGGAGGAGGAGGAGGAGGAGGAGGAGGAGGAGGAGGAGGAGGAGGAGGAGGAGGAGGAGGAGGAGGAGGAGGAGGGGGAGGGGGCAGGCGAGGGAGCCCCGGCCCTGGGGGAGGGGCCCTGAGGGAGCCCTGATGGGTTTCCGGCACCATGGAGAGGTCCTGTGGGGCGGCCGTCCCTTCTTCTCTCGGTCGTTTCCCTCTCGCCCAGAAGCGCGCGCCCCTTCTTCTATATATATATATATATATATATACAGAAACTCCCGATCAACCGCAGAGCGGCGGATGTTATTTGTTCGTGACGTTGGACTTCAGGGTCGGACGGAAATGATGTCGTGATGCGATCGGCCCAGGATATGCCCCAGGAGTTCCGAAGAGCACCGGGCGGCCCTCACCTCTGGAGTTCTGCAGACCCAGACATCCGGCGATTTGACTTTTTCAAGCCGGGCGCTTTTGACCTCCGCCCGTTCCCAGACCTCCGACGACCTGTTTTTCCAATGCGTGGGGCCAGCGTTTCGCCCCAGACCCATTTCCGCGTGGCGCGGAAGCCCAGATCGAATAAGAACCACTGGCTGAACAAACCGGTGGAGCGAATCAGATCGTCGGAGATCTGGGCTCTGGCAGACCACAGGAGCCCGCAGATCCGCAGTCCCGAGGCGGAGGCGGAGGCTCGGCGGCGAGCCCAAGGGGGGGGGGGCAGTGAGAAGGGGCGGGTCTTCTCAGAAGGCTTGGGAGTCCCCCGGCCTTCCAAGTCTCCTGAGCCTTCCCCGGAGACGCCAAAAGCCCCTCAGAAGGCCAGAGGCCTCCTGAGAGGCCCCGCCGCCTTCGGAGAGGGCCGTCTCCCCCTCCCCTCCCCTCGTCGCCCGCCGCCGGTTCCCCCCCCTTGAGCCAGTCCACCCCCCTCCCCCCCCGTCGTTGCGCCTCGGGATCGGAGGAGAGGCCCCGCTACCTTCCGGGAAGGCCTTCCCCTCCTCACCGCCCCCCGTCGCTCCCCGCCGATGGGGGCGGAGGCGGCGGGCCGCCGCGCCTCGGGCCCGCGGAGGAGGCCCGCGGCCGAGGGCCTCTCCCCTCCGCTGCCGCGTCGGTGCGGGCCGGCCCGAGGCGCGGCGGCGCGCCGCCTCCGCCTCTGCCTGCGCCTCCTCCTCCCCGGAGCTTCGCAGCTGCGGGCCGTGGCCTGCCAGCGCCCAGATCTCCGACGGGCGGGCCTTAGCCTTTTCTCCGCCGCGCGCGGGGTCGGCAAACGCCTCCGAGGGCGGGCGGGCGGTGGGTCCTTGGTCTTGGTGCCGCCGCGAAGAGAGCGCGGAGAGCGCGCCTGCCGTCTAGGACGGGGCGCGAATGTGACTCAGGAGGCAACTCCTGGGAGGTCTTCGTGAGAACGGCTCAAAAGGCCACCGAGCCGGACCAGGCTGGATGAGGCCCAGAATTTGGCCGCATGAAGCGGGCTCCAACCAGACTGAGCAGGATTATGATGGACAAGGCCAGATTTCGAAAGCGGATATACCAGCGCCGATGCTAAATTAAACCTCCCTGGAGTTGCAGCCTACAAAGAGTTTTCGGCTCCCCTCCAGGAGGCCAGACTGAGCGCTTCCCCAGATAAGGTGTAGACCTCTGGGGGATTCACGTTGTGAACTAAAACGCGACGTCGGAAGTCTGGGCACCGCGCAGAAGGGTCCGCGTCCAGTGCCGCCAGAGGCGACCCTGGCCCAAGGTGGTCCCCCGATTTCCCAAGGCGGCACCCCACGGTCTCCAGAGCACCCCTTACGAGGCCCAGAGGACCCCAAAGGCTCCAGTGGCGTGCGAAGCTGGGGGGGGCACCGTGGGCCAGTGGCACCTTGGACAGCCCGCGCCCTAGAGGCGGGAAAAATGGTCCCGCCGAGACCCTGCGCGGAGGGGTTCACTGGGCGTGCTGGGTTCCTTCTGTTACATGTAGCTTTTCGGATCCGACCAGCCCTCTGCGTGTGAGTAGTCTAGCGAGCTCGTTCTGATAACCCCCTTCTTCCCCTTCGGGGAGGGGTCTCCCTCTCCCCCTCCTGGGTCTGGAGGGGAGGGGCGCGATGGGTTAGAGCGTCCCAGACGGCCCAGTATGGCTCCAAGAAGGCTCCACGCAGTCCAAGACGGTCTCTAAGATCGCTTAAGATAGCCCCACATGGTTCAACATAGACTCCAACATGCTTGCAAAAGCCTCCAATATTGCCCCAAAGCGGCTCCAAGTGGCCACGGAGCTTCCCAGAGAGTCCTTCAATATCGTTAGAAGACGGCTCCAAGTGGCCACGGAGCTTCCCAAACCTACGGGGCATGACTGTTGTTCGCATTCTCGCGCTTGCTCTTCCGATCGGCTCTGGAGACCCCAAGATGGCTCAACAAAGCTTCAAGTGGGGCCCCAAGAGCACCCAAGAGCGGCCCAAGAGGGCTTCAAGAGGCAAACTTGCGGGCCCGTACGTGGGGCACACACACAGAAACGCCGCCCCCTTTTTCTATCGATGCCACCCGCAGATGGCCCGAAGAGGCCCCAAGTGGCCCCCCAACCCCCCCCAGAGCGTGACTGCATGCTGCTGCACATCCCTGACCAGGGCAACTCGCGTGCTGGTTGTTTTTGGATGGGCTGGCTGGCATTGGGCCTCCTCGTTGCCACGGATGAAACCGCCTCGAAAGCCCGGCCAGAACGAACTCTAGGAAAGAGGCTGCCGAATTCTGACCCATTAACGAAGACCCCCTCGCGCCGCGACAAAACTACGACGGATTCCCCCCCGGCAGCTCGCGCACGATCCGAAGAAGGGCGGAGGGAGAGTTGAGGGCACCCATGTTAATTTCGAAAAGCCGAGTTTAGCCTCTTCGGGCAACCCGCCCTCGCTGTGGCGCGGTGGGAGAGTTGGGTGGGGGGGAGGAGAAAGCAGCCGCTCAAAATCTCGATGGCTGCGAAGAGAAGGAAAAGAGTGGAGAGAGCGCCCGGCGAGGAAGGGGGGAATCCTTCCGTTTAAGGAAGCACAAACGAAACCAGATCCCCACGGCAACTCGCGCACGATCCGAAGGAGGGCGGAGGGAGAGTTGAGGGCGCACATTGCAAATGGCGAAAAGCCAATTTCAGCCTCTTCGGGCAACCCGCCCAGCGTGTTGCCAATCTTTACAGTTCAGGGTCATAAGTGGCGAGGAAGTCTCAGGCGAAACGCCCGGCCTGCCCTAAAAACCGGCTTCGGGGTGCGACAGGGATAAATTATTCATAAGGAAAATGAATGGAGGAGGGGGGGGGAGGGGGAGCCAGGGTAGAGGATCTACGCTTCTGGGTGACGCAATCCTGTTGTGGAGCTTCAGGGGCCTCCAGAGGTAGTCGTCGTGGCCGTCCTCCTCCTGCTCCTCCTCCTCTCAGAAATCCAGTTGCGACACTGGCGGCCCTCCTCCCCCCCCTCCCCAAACTCCTCCTCCTCCTCCTCCTCCTCGAGGGAGTACCTCGTCTTTCGAAAAGTGTTTTCGTATAGTTGTTCGTGGAATGTTCGAACATTCGTCCTCTTCTTCCTTCTCCTCTTCCTCCCCCTCTTCATCTTTCTCCCTCTTCGCCTACTCCTTCTCTTCATCCTTCTCTCTCCTCCTCCTCCTCCTCCATCTCCAGAATAGTTTTTTTTTTGTTTTTTTTTTTTTTTTTTGTTTTTCTCTCCTTCTTGCCCCCTAAAAAAAAGCCGCGCGGCCTTCCGTTTTTTTTTTTTTGGGGGGGGGTCAGGAGAAGAAACAAATTCGATTCTGGGGGAAGGAGGAGGAACGAGAGGAGGAAGAGGCAGAGGAGGAGGAGGAGAGGGGGGGCCCATTTTTTTTTCCTTCGCCTGCCCCCCCAAAAAAATCGCGAAGCCGTTTTTTGTTTTTTGGGTGGGGGGGGGGTCGGCGGCGAAAAAAACAGAATCCGACGTGGCCTCATTCGCCTTCACCTCTGGAAGGATTCCTATTGAAAGCCCCCACAAGAAGGGTTCATCGTGACATCCTCCACAGGAGGATTTCGATCGAAACCTCCACAGAAGGATTGCTATTGAAATCCTCCACACATTGGTTCCTATTGGAATCACCTGCAGAAGGGTTGCTATTGAGAGGTTTCGAAAGAAAGAATCCTCCCGTTGGCTTTGCATTGGCATTTGTTTGGCAATGGTTTGACATTGCGTTGGAATTTTGCGGTGCAGTGCGTTGGCATTGCGCTGGCACTTCGCAAGCATTGCGTTGGCGAGTACTGATGGAACCCTTCACAGAAAGACTCCCGTTGAAACCTCCTACAAGAAGGACTCCTATTGAAACCTTCCACAAAGATGGGTCATATTGAAATCCTCCACAGAAGGATTCCATGCGAAGCCCTCCACTGAAAGATTCCGATTGAAATCTACCACAAGGGATTTCCCCACTTGTCATTGCATTGGCATCGGGTTGGGATCGCCTTGGCATTGCGCTGGCATTGCGCTGGCACTGCTTTGGCACTGCTCTGGCATTGCGCTGGCGAGTCCTCATTACTCCCTTCGCAGAAGGATTTCTATTGAAACCCTCCACAAAGGGATCCCGATTGAAATCTACCACAAGTAATTGCCCCCATTGGCATTGCAGTAGCCTTGGATTGGGACCGACATGGCATTGGTTTTGCATTGCGTTGGCTCTGCGTTGGCATTGCGCTGGCGAGTCCTAATCGGACGCTCCACAGGACAAGTCTTATTACTCCACCCCAGCAAGAAGGGTGCCTAGTGACCTCCCCCACACACAAGAAATAGTCAAATTGAAATAAGGAGCGTATTCAAAGTCATTCACGTAAGGATTCCTATTGAAATCCTCCGAGCATGGGTTCGCACTGGCATCATCCCAGAAGGGTTCTTATTGAAATATACCAGGGGAGGATGCCCCCAATTGGCATTGGTTGACATTGGGTTGGCATTGCGTTGGGAGTGTGTTGGGATTGCGCTGGCGAATGCTAGTGCCTCCGTTCGCATAAGGATTTTTATTTCAACTCCCAGGAGAAGGATTCTCATTTTAATCCACCGCGCAGGGGATTGCCCTCAAGGGTATTGCACTGGCATCGGGTTCGGGTCGCCTTGGCATTGCTTTGGCATTGTGTTGGCATCGCTTGAGCATTGCGCTGGCATTGCGCTGGCAGGAGGATTCTTGTTGCAACCTCCCGCAAAAAGGATACCTATTGAAATCTACTACAAAAGATTGCCCCCATTGGCATTGGATTGGGGTCGCCTTGGCATTGGTTTGGCATTGCGTTGGTGCTGCTTTTGGCATTGCGCTGGCGGGTCCTGGTGCCTCCCTTCGCAGAAGAGTTCCTATTGAAACCCTCCGCAAAAAAGGATTCCTTGTAACATCTACCACAAAGGAGTGCTCCCAACGACGTTGCATTGGCATTGGATTTGAGATCGCGTTGGCATTGCGCTGGCATTGCGCTGGCGAGTTCCAACGCCTCCCTTCGCAAGAGGATTCCTGTTGCAACCCCCAGGACGATTATTATTGAAATCTACCACAGAGGATTGCCCCCATTGGCATAGCATTGGCATTGTATTGGGGTCGCCTTGGCATTGGTTTGGCATTGCGTTGGTGCTGCTTTGAGCATTGCGCTGGCGGGTCCTGATGCCTCCCTTCGCAGAAGGGCTCCTATTGAAACCCGCCGCAAAAAGGATTGCTTGTGACATCTACCACAAAGGATTGCTCCCAACGACGTTGCATTGGTATCGGATTTGGGATCGCATTAGCATTGCGCTGGCATTGCGTTGGCACTGCTTTGGCATTGCGATGGGAGTGCGCTGACGAGTTCCAATGCCTCCCTTCGCAGAAGGATCCTCATTGCAACCCCCAGAAGGTTCCTGATTGAAATCGACCAAAAAAGAACATGGTTCTCGAAATTCCAGCCCATGCCTCTTGGCACAGGGCTAGAGTTTCGAAGACCATGCTCGGGGGGGCTTTCTTTCTTTGAAGAGGCTGGCATAATAACAGTGCAGCTCAAGGAAGGATTGCATGTATTCATATATATATATATATAGTGAGAGAACAAAGAGAGAGAGAGAGAGAGAGAGAGACAGAGAGAGAGATAGAGAGGGAGAGGTACGATAAGAATAATGATGAAGAGAAGGTTGCTAGCTAGAAAACAAAAACCCTCTGGAACACTGAGATACTCCACAATCCCCCGGCCTCGAAGAGAACTCCTCCTCCTCCTCCTCCTCCTCCTCCTCCTCCTCCTCCTCCCTACCTCCTCCCTCTCGTCCTCTTTCAGTTCCTCCCCCTCGTTCTTTGTGGGCCGGGGTGGCCCGAATGTCTCGTCTAGTCCTCCTCCACCTCTCTAACCCACTATATTGAAAAGCCAAATGCCGCTATACCGTCGCCCTGTGGTCCTCCTCGCCGTCATTCTCGTCCTCCCCCTTCCCTCCTCCTCCTCCTCCGTCCTGCATTTCCCTTCAATCATTTCAATTTTCAGACCCCTTCCTGGGTCTCGTCAATGGCTCGACTTACATTTGACAGTAAAGCTGCGGAACAACAGTTTGCCTTGCGAAGGGTCCCACCATATGCACTTGTGAATATCGTTTTCAGTGGAGCTACCTGTGGGGCCACGAAACATGAGGGGTGTGCTGAAATGGGCCTGGGGGCGCATGCTGACCCTGCCACTGGGGCCTTCGGTGGAACTCCTTATGGGGCCACGAAGCGTGTGCGGGGTACGCCGGAATGGGCCTTGGGGCCTTGGGGACACATGCGGGTGCTGCCATTGGGGCCTTCGTTGGAACTCCCTATGGAGCCACGAAGCGTGTGAGGAGTGTGCCAAACTGGGCCCGGGGACGCAAGCGGGCGCTGCCGTTGGGGCCTTCGGTGGAGCTCCGTATAGGGCCACGAGGCGTGTGAATGACTGGTGTGCTGAAATGGGCCTGGGGACGCATGCGAGCTGTGCCGCTGGGCCTCTGCTGGAGATCCCCATCGGGCCCAGGAACGTATGAGGGGTGCGCCGAAATGGGCTGGGGGACCGCATGTGGTACAACACCCCCCCAGGGCCTTAATTGGAGCTCCCTATGGGGTTACGGAGCGGTGAGAGGTGTGCCGAGATGGGCTGGGGGACCGCATGTGCCCCCCCTCCCACCCCCTGGGGTCCTCGGTGGAGCTCCCTATGGTGTCACGAAGCGTGTGAAGGGTGTGCCGAAATGGTTAGGGGACCGCATGTGGTCCAACCCCCCTGGGGCCCCCCCTGGAGCTCCCTATGGTGCCGCGAAGCTTGTGACGGGCGTGCCCAAACTGCTGGGGGACCGCATGTGGTTACCCCCTCTTGGGCCTCAGTTGGAGCTCCCTAGGAGGGCTACGTGCCGTGTGAGCGGTGCACCGAAAGTGGCATCCGAAGGGTAGAGGTAGGGCTGGGACGAAGAAGGGAGGCTAGATGAGAGGAGGTGAAGCGGGCCCCTGTCTCCTCAAAACGAGGACCCAACACTACTGAATGGTTGGGAGCTGAGACCGTGTTAGCCCGAAGCTTGCATCCATGGTAACGTTTGCAACGCAATCTACGCGATGCAGTGCGCGTTAGGCAGCATGTGCGGTACGAAGTATGTGGCGTTATGTAATGCGGCGTTACATGTAATGTCTGCGGTTTGGGGTGGGCGGGTTGGGCCAACGTGAAACGGAGTCCTCCAACTGGAAGTCGATTTCGATTTCGGTTCGTGTAGTGCGTGGCGTGCGTGCGAGGCGAAACTGCGCGAATTCCTGCACCAACCAGGCCCCAATCACGCGCAAACGAGTCGCTTTCCCGTCGTCAAGGCATGCGCGCGGTTGTCCCGCGGTTGTCCCGACCCGTGCCCGCGGTTGTCCCCTGGTTGTCCCGTATTTGTCGTGTGTCTGTCTTAATGGTTGTCCCTCTGAGTGTCCATATGGTTGTCTCGATGTTTGTCCCGACGGTTGTCCCCATGGTTGTCCCGATGGTTGTTCCCAAATTTGTCCTGACGGTTTTCCCGATGGTTGACCACATGGTTGACCACATGGTTGTCAAGATGTTTGTCTCGTGTTAGTCCCGATTGTGGCTCCGACGCTTGTCCAGATGGTTGTCCCGATCGTTGTCCTGTGGCTTTCTCGATGGTTGTCTTGATGGCTGTCCCGATGGTTGTCCAACTGGTTTCCTAAATGGTTGTCCCGATGGTGGCTCCGATGGTTGTCAAATTTTCGTCCCGTCTTTGCCCCGATACTGTTCCTGTTTGTTGTCCAGGTGGTGGTTCCGATGGTTGTCCCATGCTGATCCCGATGGTTGTCCCGAGGGTGATTCCGATGGAAATCTAGAATTTTTCCTGGTTGTCCCTATGGTGTCCAACGGTTGCCCCGTGGTTGTCCCGTGGTTGTCCCGATGGTTGTCCCGATGGCTGACCCGTGGTTGTCCCACGGTCTGCCGCGAATGCGCACTGTTCAACATCAAACACATCCCCAATCTCCACATTACCAGCAGGGTTGCCTTATACACATATATATACACATTATATATATATATATATATATGTGCGAAGAGTCGCAACGCAGCGCGCTGAGTATTTGTTTGTCACAGCAATGCAACGCAAAACGACGACACGCAAAGCAATGCACGGCAACGCATGGGCGGGAAACATGTGCGCACCCCGAACGCAGCGCATCCGCACCGAAGAATATGCGCGCCCCGCTCGCAACGCACGGGACCCTCTTGCCGCACTGAAGAATCTGCACACTCCCGCACACAACCCGTTGGTGGGCCCCCCTGGCCGCACCGGAGAATCTGCGCATCCCCGCACGCACGCACCGCCCCGATGACCGCACCGAAGAAGCTGCACACCTCCGCACGCGACGCACGGGGGGGGGGGCGGGGACCCGTGGCCGCACCGAATAATGTGCGCACCCCTGCACGCAACGCGCGAGAGGGATCCTCTGGCCGCAGGCAAGCAGCGCGTGGGCGGGAGGGGCACGATGGCACGACAGAGAATCTGCACACCCCACGACCAGTCATCCAACTATTAAGCACGAACCCCTGACTGCAGACACTACCCGACGCGTTCCAGAAAGGGCCTCGCCTTCGAGGGTCAAAGGAATTGGAGTCTCTTTCCCGATGGAAGACGGCAAACTGTTGGCAGAAGCAGCACGGGGGCGGCTCAGCCTGCGGACATATAGAATGTGTCCCCAAGACATGTCAGCATTACTCGGTCCAAGACTTCCTGAACAGCTCACCTGGGAAGCGCAGTACACTCTTGCTCACTCGCACGTGCCGAGGAAAACTCACCAGTATGATCACGACAGCCACGAGCACCGCGACACCACGAACACCATGGTCACTTTTCCTCACGGTGGCCACGACGACGACGACAACGGCGATGACGACCACCGACACGCCGCGACCCCTCAGGGTAGCTCACTGACGTGAACAACCTTTTCCCGAACTACTCAGCTCAGGTGAGGAGCGTGACGGGGTGCCAGGAGACAGGCTGGGTAAGATCACATCGGTGGGCTTATCGAGCCTTTCGATGCCCATCGAGACCACACTCCCCAAGCCCCTCCAAATGCCACTTTGGACAGGGCGTCCGCAGTTCCTCCGATTGACCCGCAGCAGGACGCGGAATGGCGACGGCCCCTTGATCAAAATGTGGCCACGCGCACAAGCCATTGAGCTTGCCTGCGCGGCACGACCTCTACATGGCCACTCGTGCCTAGGTCCTAGGTGTGCTCAGACGTAGGGGCATTCTGTGCCCTGTGCCTGCTCTCTCCACTATCAGAGGTTCCTTCCTCTCCCTCCGTGAAAAATTCTGCAAGCCTACAGTAGACACATACGATACGATAAGACATCTTGCTATATACAACCTTGGGGCACCCTATTCGTCAATCTTTCAGGGTCCCCAGGTGCCACCGAGCTTCGGTGGGTCCCTGGGGCCATCGGGGGTCTGTGGGGCACCTGCTGGTAGGTTGATTTCTTATTTGATGTGCCCACTGTATTCCAGCAGTGTACATGCTTCGGGCTTGTCCCGAGGACATCACACTGAAATTGTCCAGCCTGCAGCCCCAGAGTGATCGAACAAGGCAGTCGGGTGCCCCTGGTGAACGCGCGCAGCTACTGGGTGCCCAGAGGCACTGCGAGCTCTGGGGAAGGCTGCGAGGCTTGCGAACACGCCTAAGAACTCCTCGCGCTTTTCTGACCAAGCTCCGCCCTGCAGTGCCTTCCCTAGGCAGGAGCAGCCAGCAGCGAATCGCCAAATCGTGTCGGGTCGCAGCGTGAAACCGAATCGAGCCGGCCGCGCCAGAGTGCAAAACCAAGCTGTGCCAGCATCGGGCCGCACCGGATCGCCCGAACGCCAAAATCGAATCGGACTGAGCTGTGCGAGAATTCGGCATCGGATCTGATCGAATCAAACCGAGGTGGGACCGCCGACCCCCCTACCGCGATCGTTGCCTCGCGCTCTTGCCGAAGGGGTGGGAAGGGGGTAGCTGTCCAGGGTGTGCCGCTTGCCAGAACAGTCCTCGCCATGATCGACAGGGCACACATTTGCACAGATCTTGAGTTCACGCCACCAGCAGCGGACCAGCAACAAAGCAATCGTTGGTCAGCCCGGCCACCTTCGGAGACATGTTATTCCGACAAGGTTCGGTCCCACCTGAGCTTTCTCCCTCATCATCGCCTCACTGTGCACTTTGATTCCCAATATGGAGTGCCATGGTCAACGCCTAAATAATGCGTGGCCTTATTGTCAAAAGCTGCTGAACGCCATTACGCAATCACTACGGTCTCGTAAACGGGGATCATGTACTTGATATTGATGAATGCATCCTCTCCTTCGCAAGCGGTTCGCGCGCACGCGCAGGACAGCAACGCGACCCCTGTCCACCAGGACGAGTTCATCATGAGAATTACTGCAAGCGTCATCCTGTGCAGCACCCGTGCCAACTCAATGTGTACAGTGACTCGTACCAGCGTTATCACCAATGCCCGGTCCCTAATGTACAATAGACACGTATGATGGGAAATCTTGCAGCAAGAAATCTTGTGGACTGCAACGCTTTGAACCGATGACGCGCTCGCGCTTTGAGTTGCGAGACGACCCTATCGATGAGGAAGACCTCAACAAAAATTGTACACAAATATTAACACGCCCAAATCTATGGAATCTTGCTCGTCCAACCACCTTCATGTTGATATTATCGTGCTCTCACCGTGCAAAAACACATCCGGTCAGACGCATGAATTTGCTTGTTTGCGTGCGTGCATCTGCGTTTGTGGATGCTCGTGTGTGTGTGTGTGTGTGTGTGTGTGTGTGTGTGTGCGTGCGTTTCCTCATGCGTGCTAGCATTAAAACACCCGTTGCGTCGCATGGACGTTTGTACGCAGAGTGCTCGGGGTTGCTTGTGCTTCACCGTGCGTAGTCACACGCGCACTAAATTGCTGGCACACGGAGAACTGGGAACCAACTCTTCCTTCGAGGGACGTGCTAGGTATGCCGGGTCCGCACGTACTGTGAAGCATCCAGTGTGGCAAATCGCCCTGTCGCAACATGCTCTGCCAGGACTTTTGGGGTCACCGGGCGTGGGAACCTACTGCCATTTCGCACCCGCCTGACACTGGGGAGGGGGCCAAGCTTTCCCAATCGACGGGGTGATTTGGAGAACCTGGGGCGGACAAGGCTGGGCAATCTGGTGCAATAAATCCCGCCACAATTGAGGAGACAAAATTGAAGTCGCGCCGCGGGAAGCTTGCCCCTGCCCTCCAAACGATGAAGCTAGCGCAGCGAGGTGGGCGAGGAGGCGTTCAGCCAGTAGCCAGCGCGCCCGTCAACATTGAAGGGGCCGCTCAACAAAGAGTACCCAATACGCCTCTCAACTGTGAAGGGGCCAGGCCGCCCAACGATGACGCACCGCTCAGGCTACCCGGCGGTGTCGTGCTTGCTAATCGCGACGAGACCTGCAACTGGGTGTGGACCTCCGAAGGCCCCGCGCCCCCTTCCACCGGGCGGTCATCCCCCCTCCGTGGGGCCGCCCGAACCGCCCGAAAGCTTCCGGCTGGCCCGTGGTCGAGGAAACCCGCCGCCGCCGACGGCAGGCGCGGCGAGCGCTGACTTCTGACCCGGCGCGGGGAGGGTCGGGCGCTCGCTGACGGGGGAGCACTTTCTGTGATGGCAGCGAGGGCGGACGCCAACGCGTTCGGGTAGCTGGCCGGCTGCGGCGGAACCACGGACACACAGAGGCGATTGGGGGAAAGAGGAGGGCGTCCGCGGAGGAGGAACGCGGGAGGAGGCCTCAAGCGTCGATAATCTTCGCCACGAGGGGTGCGCAGGGGGCCTCAGGCACAGGAAACCGATGTACGCAAACGTTGTGCGGTAAGTACAGGCTGTGATATGGAATGGTGCGCAGCACCGATGGCTTTGTCGAAAGCTAGCGCAGCTCGGGCGATCTGCGTAGTTCTAAAGCCAAGGGCCCTGAAATGTTTGAAACCGATGCGGCAGCGGGAGATAAGGTGGGAGCAAGCAGCGGGGCGGGCGGAAGCGAGGCGGAAGCGGGGATTAGAGGCGAGGGACGTGCTACTTATCACACTCCTCCTGCACGGCTCTCGATGAGTGGCGCTAGCAGCTGCCTGGGAGAGACGGGCATACCTTCTCTCGCTTTATTAAACGGGAAGAATTATCGAGATAATTCTGAAACAGCGGCGGCGGCGGCAAAGGCAGGCAAACGGCCTGACGCGGCTTGCAGCAGGGGCCTTCGGGGCATTACTGGATGTGCTGCGCATGCCTGCGAACCAAATTCCCTTTTAACCGGCGGCCGCGATGCGCGGCGGGCGCTCGGCAGGCGAGTCCGACCGCGAAGCGACAAGACTTAAAACTCTATTGTCTTTCGTATAACAATATGATTTGAAATGGGCGTGGTCGTCACCACTTCTTCAGAAAAGCTGCGCGCTGAATGAAGCCTCTGCAGTGCTGAGCTACGTGTAAAATTTTGAACCGGGTGCGAAATCTCACTGCGGACTTACGTAAGCGGGGTCGCGAAAGGTGACCGTCTAGCGAGAGCAGCAGAACATTGGCCGGCGCGAAAGGCCAAACTGCCGTCCGGGCACCGGGCGGTAATCAGAGACCCTTCTTGGAAGGTTTCGACGGCGGCGTCCTTAGGTCTCTGCCAGTGAGCTTCAGCCAACGACCCATGAGGTCGTGCATCACCAGGCTCGTGAACATGGTGAAGTCCAGGTCGCGCTTGCAGTAGAGGCGTAAGAGCCGCGACGAGTGCTTCTTGCACGTCTTGCAGGTGATGTAGACGCTGTGATCGTTGTGCCCACATATGAAATCATGTCTGCATGTCGCCCAGCTCACCATTTCGTTCGGCGATACTGTCGGCGAGGATCCGTTCCACGAAACCACGCTGGTCGATGATGAGCTCGAAACGGTGGCGATGCTGGGCGAAGTAGGGTCTGATGTGCGGCTCGATCTGCTTCCTGGTGCTGGTACTGGTGCTGGCTGCGCGGCGTCGGGTAGTGGCATCGGCGGGAACTGCGGCAGCGGCGGCTGCGATGGGTGATGTCCGAGCGTAACCCCCAATCCCGATGCTGCTGGGCTCGATGCCTGTGCGCTGCTGGATCCATCCGAGGGGTGCATGGAGACGTCGCCGTCGTGGTCACGCTCCTCGGGGATGGCCGCTGGTACGTTGCTGCGCCGGCTGAGGCGTCGTCCGTCTCAGGCTGGGTGCTCGTCGTCGATCACAGCCTTCGCCTCGGCGGAGTGCTGGCCGGACTCGATCGCGCTGTCCTGCCTCATGATCGTCCAAAGGGCCGCGAAAATGCCGAACCCGATGGTGATTCCCAGAAACAGAATGAACGTCATCAGGGATAAGTAGAAGCTGTAGTCCGGCGTCGTCGTAAGCGTAGGCGCGGGCTGACCCTTGACCCTGACCAGGCAAGTGATCAGAACCGAGGCGAGCATGGCGGCATTCGGCTGCCAGGTCCTGTAGGTGTGCTGGCGGGCCCCGAATAACGACAGCAGGGCGCTGGCTTCCATCGCGTTGATCAGGGCGTCCGCGACCATGGCCCAGGTCGGCATCCACCTGAGCCCCGCGTGCACTATTGGGGTGCACGGCCTCCTTTATCATGGAGGCGACGACGCGGAACCGCTTGTCGGTCGACTGGCCCACATCGGACGGGATGGGCGTCGCGAGGCCCTTGCTGTCGCTGTAGATCTCCCCGGGGCGCTTGTCGGCGAGCTCGTCGATCTGCTTGAGCACCTTCTTGGGTATGTAGGCCTCGGCCAGCAGCTGGCGGAACCAAGTGTTGGTTTCCGATCCTCCGAGGGTCAAGCAGCCCTCGGCGGCGAGGGTCGACTTCGCCGACCTCTTGGCGCTGCCCGAGCGCCAGGCCACGGGCAGGCACAGGTCGTAGAGACCACCGACGACATCGCGAGGGCGATGCGTAAGCCCCATCACCATGCCCCACTGGCTCTTGGCCCCGTCCACGTTGGCAAACGCGGCGTCGCTGAAGCGCGCGGTCGTGGCTGTCTCCAAGTCGACGATGTTGCGCCAGAGCACGATCGCGAAGTTTGCGGTAGAGTGCACGTAAGCGACGGCCTTGTTCAGGAACTTCGCGTCGGCCACGGTGGCGACGTTGGTGCGGTGAGCTGCGAAGCACACTGGGCAGGCGGTGCCCACCCGGGTCTGTGCTGCCACCCAAAGCAGCTGCCCAAGCGTGTGGCGGTAGCTCACCACCTCGGCTGCGGTGAGCCGGTCCTCGGCGCCTCGGCCTCGCTGGGCCCTCGTCGACGTAGTCCACCTGCGCGGCGGCGGTGGATTGGGTCACCCTGAACTCGTCGTCGAGCTTGGTGGTCGTCCGCCCGCAGTGCTTGATGACCCCTTCGACCTGCTTGAGGTGTTGCTTCTTCCCCAGCGATGTGATGGTAGTCTTCCGCTTGGTGGAATTGTTGCGCTGGGCGATTAGGGAGTCGTCCATGCGGGAGTGGACCGCCGCGGCGAGCCCACCTTCGTCGTAGAAATAATAAAGGCCCTTCTCGAGCTTGCACTCCATGAGGCCGTGCTCGGCGAAGACCTTATGCGCGTAGAGGTCGCGCGTCCCGTGGGCCGCGCCTGTGGCCGCTGCGATCTCTCCAGGCTGCGTCCCCGGCGGCGGGTTCTTGGCCGGCATGCGCAGGAGCAGCGGCCCCTCGATGCTCCCCGACTGCAAGTAGGCCGTCATCGCGTCGTAGGACGAGAAGTCCCAGTTCTTCTGGGCAGCGGCGGCCAGGGTGAGGTACAGAGCGTCCCTCGACCCAATTGGCGCGTCCGCCCTGATCTGCGACCTGTCCTCCTGGCAGCCCTGCGCGACCAGGCGGGCCCTCGTGGCGTTCTGGCCCATGCTGGTCAGCGCCCAGCGCGTGCCCGCCTGGCGGATGCCAGGGTTGCGCCGCAGGAGCTCCTTCAGCTCCTTGGGCGGGAGCTTCTTGTAGGCGCCGAACTCCGTCCACTTCGACCACTCGGCCTTCATGGCGATGTCCATGTTCTTCTTCTCGCTGGCGCTCAGGTTGTCTTACTTGAGCTCCTCTGCGGTCGCGTTGCCCGTGAGCGTGGCCTCACGGAGTCATGTGCTTGAGTAGAGCACGTCCGCGTGCGCCCTGAATGAAGCAGTTGTCCAGGTAGAGGTCGACCTTGTTGGTGTCCTTCGGCCTCTTGAAGCACTTGGGCAGGTCGTCCGGGAGCTTCTTGCGCTTGGCTGCGCGTTCGCGCGGGTCGAGCTCCTGCTGGCGGCCGCGTTGCAGGGCCAGCGGTGCGTTCTCCTGTCGCGCCTGACGCTGCGCCTTCGTGCCGCGCTGGTT